TTTCTTTCTTTCTTTCTTTCTTTCTTTCTTTCTTTCTTTCTTTCTTTCTTTCTTTCTTTCTTTCTTTCTTTCTCACAAGTTTACCAATGAATTGGGTCATTCTCTGTGCCCAGTGATTTTGTGGTAACTCATTGGTTTAGAGTCCTCCAGAATGATGTCTTTAACATACTTACGAAACTTCTTCACCAGTAAAATATGTGGGCTAAGCCCAAAACCAACACTAGCACATCTGGGGTATCTATACTTCCTGGCATCACTTTCCAGTGTAGCCACATAATAATTAAATATCTAGCTGATATCATAACCAGTCTGGGTAGTTGTTTTATCAGATGTTAAAGAGCAGGAAAATGTACAAAAATAGCAATGGCAGGCTCTGCTTTATATGATAACCTCAGAATGCATCATAGAAAATAAGACATTATTAGCTCTTGCTGCTGGCTGAACATTCACATTTATGTGATGGTGAAGTCACTTAACTGATAGCAATGGAGTCCTAATGAGTGATTTCTGTRAATTCCCTGAGGTGCTCTGGTGTGGAATATAGTTATTCCCAAAGGAAGTCATGATGGAGGTGGATGATGTGCTGGTGGGGTGACACTTTCTTCCTCCAGTGGCCAAGGGAATCTGGTACATCTAACAATGCCAAATCATGGACTGTGATTTTCKTTTACCCTCATATTTCTCACTTAAATCTGTGTCTCATGGTCCGTTTCTAAGTTGCTACTCATCACAGCCAATCTAATAGCTATCCTCCTTATTTCTGACCCWGGAACAGTTGAACAGGATTAATCACAGGCTGTTTAATCAAACCAGACCCTCTAATTTCTGTTTGCATTTTGGTTTTTTTTTTGATAAGAATTATCTGCATTAGTTCACTACTCCACCACTGTGCCAATTTGTAGCAGACACAGAGCCCCACAGTGCCCAATGTCTCTGGACAGCAGATTATTCAACTTTGTCATGGTTCTGCCACTTCCTTTTCATGTARATCTGTTGTACCTCCATCTGCCACCTGTGGAACAGGGTTAATTAAAGCTGCCTCACGTACTGGGGCTGCTGGGTAGGTCTTAATTCCCTGGGTGTGTCTCTACTGCTGCTTTATTTTGGATGAGGCTTTTGAAGTGGACTTCTTCATCTCCTCTGATTACCACACTTTGGTTAATCTTGGAGCACATCTTGCTGTATGCTTCTTGGGTCCTTCCTTGTGCTCAGCTGGAGGACACATTCCAGCTCCCCAGCTGATGCTRTTCAATCAACAGGAATGGAATAAACCTAGTCCAAACTGAAACCTTCAAAATATTTAGCATAGGGAATATTGAGTCTCTGGTACTGTTATGCTCTGCAGGTCMATTCCTRTTGAGCCATGGTATATAATGAAAGYRTAGACATTATTATAACTGATGGCTGCCTTTGTGATCCTTGGATGAAGAGAACAGCAAAAGTATGAGGTTTTGTGTGCATTTCAGAGAATAAATGCAGCCTTTATGTTTCAGTCCCAAATTTTGGCTTTATTTCACTGTACTATTTTAGTGGGAGATTCCATAGTTTATATAAGAAAGTTTACCTTAGAAGATCTAATAGCAAATGGAACCTGCTTCTGCACTTATGTAAATAAAATCTATTCATGCTGAGCTCATTCTGGTCCATGGACATTAACCAGCAGTGTTTATTTTTTTATACCTGGCAAATTTCCCTGAGATTTTCATTTTGAATAGATGCAGAAGGTTAGCACCAGTAGTTTATTTTGATACACACTATACACACAKCCTCAGATACTAAGCTACACTTTGGGGTTACAGCAAACTTATTTTTTAAGTCTTTGTACTCCACAGCAATATTCCCCTTATCCCACCATATGCTTCAAATGAAAATATAAATGCCAGCAAAAGAGCTCTCATACATGTCATTCTCTTGCAGCACTTCTGTGTTTTACAGCACGCCCTTTCTACCAATGCTGTCTTGCGGTTGATTCTTACTCCACTTTCCTATCTTTCWCTCTGATACAATTCTCATGGTCTCTGCAGTATTACTTTCAATATCAAGAAGCAGATGAATAACGAGGCCTAGAGTAACAATTTTTTTTTACTTGCTCAAGTCCATGTTTTTTCTTTTGTCCTGTACAAACCTTTTTTTTCTTTTTTTCTGTTCACCATTGCTATTGACAGAACTACAGAAACCCCTGCCTTCCTGAGTGGTGGCAGAGTATCACTCAGTTTTGTGCACATTATGCTACAGGCCAGCTATGCTCAGTTAGCTCTCAGACTGATAAAAGTCTCCCCATGTCTCTTAGCCAGCAGGAGGTGCTGAGGAATGATGCAACAAATATCTTTTCACKGAGATAGTTGGGTTCCCTCTGTGCTCAACACAAAGATTTTAACTAACTTGTAAGCTGGATCTAAGCATTGTCACATCAAAGTGAGGATTTTAGTTCTATTTTTAGGATGGCATTTGGCTAGAGCAGGGACATTCTTCTTTTGCTCTTGTTTTAATTAAATAACCTTTAAGACAAGTGAGCAGGAACATTCAACCCAAAGCAATGCTTTCTGTTACTCCAAGTGGGAGCAGAGTGAAWGCATAGCATTTATTAAAGACTTGGCTTTTCTCAATCTACTTGGCATAGATTACAATATATTACAATAATAGAGGTGGGATAACCAATAGAGAGAGGAAATATTGCTAATCCTTAAACTAACTAGCAAGAGAAACCGCAATCCCAGTTTTAGATGATAGATTATGTTAATGAGTGATCAAAGAAAATCCAAAGAGGGGAAGCAAATATATGAGGATTTTCTTGTTGTAAARTAAGTGACTACTGGTTATCATACACACCCCTAAAAAATCCCCTTCGTATTTGTTAGCATTGGACCTAACATAATTAAAATGACTGCTGAACCCTTGAAACAGGAATCCTCTCTCACTCCAGTGTTGCAACTGCAAGTTTCCACGTAGTGACAGCCTAAATATCGTCAGTACTCTTCTAGGGAACCATTAGTAAGGGCTGGAAAATGCATATTATTTGTACATATTATTTCTCATGTTACTGTATTCCTTCAATTTCTGGGAGGTTTTAGTTCTCAGTGGGTGATGTGGACACCTTTCTTCCAGTAAGGTCTGTGAAACTGATAATCACTGAACACAAACACTTGATTAACAAGAATGGGCAGGCATATCCACCTTGGAATATATAAYCAGCTAGCCAAAARCAATCACTGTGCCTRCAATGAATATTTTRAACAAAATATGGAATACCATGGAAGACACCTGGATGAGAGAATATCTACTGTAATTCCCATCCATAAAAATGGGAGCCTAACAAATTATAAATGCTAGAAAGATAATCCTGTTAACAAATAAATCCTACAATACTACAGTGTGTAATCACTTTGGGAACACTTCGAATATTTTTACAGTGATAAAAAAGTGTTGCATGKCTTTATCAGGAACAGATCCTGATAAATCCTGTGGGATGGGGCAAGATCTCATTTTTCTTTGACAGATTAGTTGGCCAAGGGGATAAGGATGAAGAGTAGACTTGTTAGATCTTGATTTTAAGAAGGCTTTCCGCACAGTCTTACATGTTTTTCTCAAAAAGAAAGTGGGAAAATCAAGTGTAGATGAGTTCACCATAATATATAAATAGACAGATGTCCCTTGTTGGTCTAGTTCTAATACTTATTTTTATGAGTGACTTGAAATATGAGGCAACRGATCTTCAAGTTACATCAGCAAATAGAAAGTGTCAGCAAGTGCCAGAGTTTTAGAGCCTGGAGAGACAATCTGCTATGAGTGGTATAARTTCAGAWARAATAACAAATGTATTTTGCCACAGATATCAACTGCATGAATACAAGTCGGGAAATATTTATGTGGGATGATGCAGGACAGAAAAGAAACTTGAAGACTATACAGCTCTTAAGCTGAGTGAGTTGCACTACATGGCTGAGGAAAGACGGATTTCATTGCAGAGCACACTAGTAAGAGTGCCTTATGTACTGTTTTACTCTGCTGGCACTGGGGAGACTCAGTTTAAGTACTTTGTCCTGTTTTGGACACCACAACATAAAATTATAGATAGTTATACAGAAACAAACTGCAGAGAGCTCKGAGGAGAGGAAGAAGGATAAGTAGTGTTGAAAACACACTGCATGAGGAAAGGTCAAGAGAACTGGTACTGTTTAGTCTAGAAAAAGAAGATGAGAACAATGCGACAGCTGCTTTCCTCTATACAGAGATAGCTATTCACCATGTCCACAACAGGCAGACAGGAGGTGTTAATTTAATTTGCAGTAAAAACTTTTGTGCCCTG